CCCCAGATTTACTTTTCGTGGGGAGTCCTGGCATGGTGGAGGGGACATATGTTTCTGTTAGTGCGTCCCAGCCTCCACTTGCACCCCCATACACACACACGTACCCTGGAAAGTGAGGGGATAGCTGGGAGCTTTCCACTTGGACTCTGTGGCTAAAACAACTTTGAACCTGTCTGGTAATTTTCAGGGACTAGGATATTGTTAACTGATTTTCAGCCACTAACTTTCAGCAAAAAAAGATGTCTGATGAATTAACCTAGAACACATTTGGCCTGTTTAACCCTCTGTCTTCCTTAATACACAACGTGTTTCCTGATCTGACATCTGCTGCCTCTATCCCCACATCTATACCAGTACTTTGAGCACATGGAACTAAACATAAGCCTGCTGCCTGAAGGGGACAGGCAAAGTTAAACTTGCAGTGAAACAACTTCTAGAGAACCAATCGGTGCCCTTTGGTACCTTCCAAACATTAACAACTTGGTCATCCAACTCGCAAATACTGCTTTTGTAGGAGCAAGATAGCGTAGCTGGGGAAGGTAGGAGAATTCCACTTGACGTCAGAAGGTCAGCGTGCCATGGACGGACATGTAGTGAGTGGAGGCGGTATGACCCAAAGGGAAGGACTCTGGCATCGAGTGGACTCTACTGTGACTGAGGGCAGGCTGCTAAACGTTTCTGGATCTGAATGTATTTGTGTTTACTCTCCAATACAGGGATAACATCTACCTCATGGAGCTGCCATGCATGTATGTGTATACACACAAATATATACATAAACATGTATACATACATGTGTATGCATTGTATGTATATGCATTACACATAGACATGTCTGTATGTGTATTTACCATACTAGCACACAGAATTTGCTATGTAAATGACAGCTACTATTAAACCCTGGAGAATCAGCAAAGCCCCTACGGGGAACAATTACGTCAGGGATAAAGGGCTTGCTGCTCCATGAGAATTAACTGATAGACCCTTAGAACAAGAACAGGGAGTAGACATTCGACAGAGTGGACCTTGTACCCTTCTAATCTGCCAATATGTCCTGTTTGTTCTCCCACCAAAACACAGCTTAAAGATGACCACTGCTCACCCGCAAGCACCCTACTAACCCAGGCCATTGTCAGCACTCTCTGAAAGGCTCCAAGCCCCCGCCCCCACCCCCACCATCGCCCTTAGGTGCTGTTTCTTCTGTTCTTTCCATATTGCAGTTTGGTCTCCACAAAGCAGTCAATCTTACACTAAAGTCAGATTACAACCCTCCCACCACTGCCTCCCCATCACTCTTAAAATCCCAAACATTTTCTGTGGTCTCCAACCCTAACTTTCTCTGACCCCTGGCTAACCTCTCTAGATGTTATCTGTAAAACACTCACCTGTACTCATATCCGTGGACCAACCTGGATGTATGACTCCTGGACACCTCAATTACGCCTCAACCACAGGGTCTTTGCACCTGCTGCATGTTTCCTGGGGTCACACATTCACTTTCAGATCCCTGCTCAAATCCTACCCCCTCAGAGAGGCCTTCTCTGATCACTGAGTCTATAGTAGTATCATGCCTTACTTTACATTGCCTCCCCTTCTTTTTGATTCATTATAATTCTTTCATAACTTACTATGCGTGATATATTTACTTACTCACATACATGGTTTGGGATCTGTTCTCCAATACAATGAAGGTCTTTGGATGAGGGCTTCTCCTGACTTATTTAATGCTATGTCCCCAGGGCTTGGAATGGTTCTTGACACCCAGCAAGGACTCAAGAGATATTAATCGACTGATAGGAATTTCTAGTTGCTCATCAAAATAACTTGCTTTTCAGCCTCCGTTCTCATACCAGACCCTTTTTCTACAACTACGACAATCACTAGCCCACCTTCGAAAAGTCCTAATGAATCACAGAGGGTGACCTTCAGTCTAAGAAGGGAAAATCATTTCCCCATTTTTTGCCATCTGTTGCAGAATCCAACTCATCAAAGGTTCTTGATGTTACTGAATGAAAAACTACTCAAGTGTGTAAGCTGGATGCATTAGGAGGCGTTCTTCCCTGTCGTTAAAAGCCTAGTCCCAAGTGCTACCCAACAGAGTGCACTTTGGGAGCAATGAAAACATAACTAATACCATTGTTGAAACCTCTGGGTAAGAAAATATCCTTGTAATTACAGTCTCTTAGACCACAAAGGCTAATGAAAACGCCTGTTGCATGTGGCTAGAAAAAGCAGACCACATATGTTGGCACTCTCGACAAAAGACCCAAGTAAAAGGCATCACTTTTCTTTGGGAGACTGAAAGAAAAATCCTGAAATGCTGCTGTTTTACCGCTTAGTGATTTTTATCTGTCTCCACCCTAAGCCCCAGACAGAACTGCCTATGCTTAGCCCATCCACCATGGGTATCAAAGAGGTGTTATTGTCATAACACCTCTTTATAAGAATTTCAGTTCTAACATCCATCAAGCCCCAGACACTGAAATTTTAAGCATGTGGATTTTTTTTTCTCGATTTAAAAATAGAGAATTTGCCTTTTGTCAAACTAGTAGATAGTAGGATTCAATAAATCTGCCCTAGTAAATGTTTTCATAAGGAGGTGAGAGCTCATTATACTAGTGCTATTTAGAATACGGGCAGTGGGCACAGCAGGTTTTTCAGCATATAGGAGATGATGCCTTAGGAGGCTTTCATTGAAACTATGAGCTACAACCTTTGTTGACTGAGCAGTTTTGATTTTTCATTTTCACTCTATGAGGAGGGTGGACTTGCTGGGAGATAATCTGACATCGGATTTGTATAGGTGTCTCCTTTTTCATGCTTCATTCAAAATTCAGAGTTCAAATGGAACCTTATGAAGCACACAATATATTAATATGGCCATCAAAGGAACAGGGATATCTCTCCCAATTTGAAATGCGATCAATAGCAATTCCTTAAGAATTTACTGAGCAGCCCTCTGGATTAGGCAGAAGGAAACACTCACCACACTCATGCAAACTTTCATTTTCTGTCGACTTCTTAAGAAATAGTGTGTGCGGATCACTACAAGGCGGGGTTGGTGAAGTCATGGGGCAAAATCAATATCTAACTTTTCCATGTTTTATCTATGATGACCAAATACAACCTAACACATCCTGGAACATGTGCAGGGGTTAACAGAAGGCAGAAGCTCTAGTGCACTGGGGCATCCTCGCAGGATGCCTATGAACATTTATTATTTTTATTTTACTTTATTTTTTGAGATGGAGTCTCGCTCTGTCTCCCAGGCCGGAGTGCAGTGGAAGGATCTTGACTTACTGCATCCTCTGCCTCCGGGTTCAAGTGATTCTCCTGCTTCAGCCTTCTGAGTAGCCAGATCTACAGGCATGTGCCATCATGTCCAGCTAATTTTTTGTATTTTTAGTAGAGATGGGGTTTCATGGTGCTACCCAGGATGGTCTCAATCATCCTGACCTCATGATCTGCCCACCTCAGTCTCCCAAAGTGCTGGGATTACAGGTGTGAGCCACCGTGCATGGCCGGCCTGTCTATGAACATTTTAAATCAACATTATTTCCCACCCCTACCTCCCATTCCAGGCAGCCTCCCCTTTTGTTGCATGCTCCATTCCACTAAGGCTCTGAAAATGTTAAACAACTCTTGTATGGCAGGAACATCCCCCCACCACTCCCAGCAATGCAGTTAACCGTCACATCTAGCATTGGGCATTAGTAAAGTGTTAAGGATGTTGCCACGTGTCACAATGAGAAGCAAAGATATTTGAGTCTAGGGGTTCAGGGGGAAATTGCAGGACCATCATCAAAGGGGTTTCATATATATAGAGTATGTCATTGCTTTAAAATGTCAGCATGCGTCATGCATACCTCTTGAACTCACCAGGTAAAGACATTAAAGCATTATAAAGGCTGAGGGCAACTACATAAATAAAACTGACCCTGCCTTCTAGAACAGAGGGCTGGGTGCATGTTCCTAGCTCTCCAGGCTTCCCTTCATTCATTCTCACTAAAAGCAGTAAATAGTGAAGCATTGGCAAAGAAGCCTTTCTCCTGCACCATTGATAAAAGGTAACAGATGAGTGCTTTATCTGTAAGGTTCAGTTTAATGTGTGTGTCTGAAGGTCATGGCATGCTCAGTTATGTGGGGTTAGTTGGAACATCCTCCCACGAAGGCTGAAAGCAATACATTGGCAAGATTTTCTAGTGATTGTTTTGGTCATAGTTTAGGCTTAAAGACAAAACGAGGACAAAAGGAAAAAAAAAATCTAGTGTTAAGGCACTCACCTATCTTGGCATTTAATTCCATACTAATGAAAGTACAAAGTAAACTGTTCTGAACCACATCAAAGAAAAAAGACAAGTGTTATTTTGACGGACATATCATGCAACGATGCAATTTCCGTTTGCCAATTTCCTGGTTTCAAAACCAAAAGACTTGGTCTCTCTAAGTTCTGCTACTTGAGAGACGTTTTATAAGAAAGGAAATAGAGGATCTTTGGCTGATAGAATGAAGATCCCCTTCTTATAAGACAGAGATAATTATATTCCCGAATGCCTCTAGCTTTATAGATTCAGTCTTTTACAGCCTCTAATAGTCCATAAAGATCCCAAATAATTCACATACCAATCTCTATGAACCCAGACAAATACGTCAAAAAACATGGAAGTCACAAGTCTGTGTACCTAATCTCCCTGTTCCTTCTTTTACCATAAGAACACTGATTATACCGGGAGACTTTCTTGTGGATTCATTCAACATATTTTTTACTTTTCTGGACTATGTATTACTAGAACCAGAAATAAAACATCAAAGTTAGCAAAATGCCTAATGTCGTCTTATATGGCAGAGCCTCAAGGCTTCAGCTGTACTCCAAAGATACAAGCTCTTTTTTTAACTAAACTTTCTAGAGTGACCAACTGCAGCATGTAAAAAAAAAAAAAAAAAAAAAAAAGGATACTGAGACTTGGATGGATGCATCAAGAAGTAGCAATGTTTGTTACCTGCAGAGGTGTTACAAGAAATTTCATCTGCTGCAACGAAGACGAACTGATTTCTGGAAGAGAAGATAAAATTCACAATACTGCTCGCTCAGGGGGAAATGTGCTCTCTGCCAATTGGTTCGATGTGTACAGATGAGGGGAGGGAAGGCTGCCGCGTGTGAATGGATGTTGAAAGGAAATGTGCTGATGTACCTCAGACTTGGAGAGTTTAGAAAGATCATGAAATAGGCATGCAGGGACCACTTAGAGTCATGACAGTGTCAGAATATGGACCATGTACAGGCTGTTGCACCAAATATTAATACTATGTGTTACCAAAACATGCCAGGGTATGTTTCGAAGGCTAACGCATTTCAAATTGTGCTTACATGAATTTCTATGCTAAAGAGATTACTTTGTAAAAAAGACTACTGATTAAGAAATAGAGTACACTACAGCTAGCTAGGAAAATTATAAAATTCCAGACTTACAATACCAACAAAAATTAAGAAAAAGCGCTGTCATTTCAGAAGACAGTTTTATGTGGTGATGTGTTGTAGATAATTCCTCATCAAACTAGGCTTGCTACATAAAGCTAAGAAGTCATCAGTTGAAATAAACCCTATCTGTCCCAATTATTTTTAATGATACAGTATTAAAAAGAATGAAAATAGAAAATGCTATTTTACTTTGATTTAGTAAATCCAGAAAGACGATAAAACTCTCTTAAGATGTTTCCACCTGAGACAGTTCCACAACGTAATGTGTTCTGATTCAGAGGTACTACTTACTCCTCTGGAAATAAGATTGTCTGTGTCAGGCAAGCTATAAAAATGGCCCACTGAGACTGGTTAGGTTCTCAAATGCCTCAGTAGCAGCAGTACAGGGGCTCTGAGTTTTCATTGGTTAGATTTTTACCATTCCTATGGATCAGCAAGAACCAAGATAAATGGTTTTTTTTTTTTTCCTTAGTGTGACTGGTTTTGTTCAAATGTTTCAATGCTTCAAAAGTAGTGATTGAGCATTTCTTGAAACATCTTAAGAAAGTTTTACTGTTGCAAGAGGTACACCCTGGGATATAAATAGATCTGCCATTTGGATATTCTCTAGAATTTCAAATTCAGTTAAATTCTAGTCATTTTTACACCAATAAAATATAAACAAATTATACATGCATTGAGAATAATATATTTAGTATTTTTCTCCTACATAACAAGCCACAACTAAGTTTGTCACTTATGACAATACAAGTTAACTTCTACAAGATTTTTTTGCTGTCTTTTTATTCTGACAGACTTTTTACACCCTGTGAATATCTGGCCCCAGATTCTCTTTTTGAGGAGCAATATGATTTAAAATCCCTGAAAACAAGGGAGATACTTTGGTTGAATATTTGGTTTGACTTACTCACCTTTGACTTATTCAAGGGGCAATAAGACATGGGAATTCCTAACTACAGGTATGGTATTCTGGGGCGCACAAAACAAGCACTTATAAGGACCTCTGTGCACAGAATGCTCCCAAGAAGGCTACCATAACCAAGAATGGCGATCTGGTTTTATGCAAAGGGGCAAGCTCTTTGGACTAGGCATTCACATATCTATGGCAGGGGGCATGGGGCAGCTCTACCCAATTTCTACTCCCTAATCCTAAAGCCAGTGCCCCCTTGTGTTCCATTTCTGTGTTTTCCATAAGGAAGTGTCCAGTGTACTAGAGATGAGGAAAAGCCACTTGGAGATACCCAACACAGATGTAAAATTGTGATTGAATGAGTAGGGAACTTTTTAAAATGTAACCTACAAGTGTGATTAGAAACAGCCCTGTAAGAAACTAGCCTTGTTTTTTAAATTGTTTCAGAATTGATAGTAAGACGGTGTCCTTAAATACTCTTTTTGATACTAGGCACTTCAGCTACCCTTTTTCCTTCATCCTTTCCTTCCTCCCCTACCCTTGCCTTCCTTTGTCTCCTTTTCATTTCCCTTCGTTCTTTCTCTCTTCCTTTCTTGGCAACCTGTGTGTATTGATATTTTTTTGTTTTTTACCCATGGTCTCTTTATGATCGCTAAGTTTCAGAACAAAAGGGACTATTCCCTTTGACAACTTGCCCTCTTCAAAAGAGTTGGTTTAGATTACTTCTATGAATTCACATCTACCTCAAAGCAAAAAGAGCTCTCTGTAATAGTGATATTTAAAAGAATATGCCATGGACTCTGCAGCAATGCCAAAGGAGTTAATGGCTACCAGTTAAGTATTTTATTTTTTTCATGTATCCGTTCTGTACTATTTGGTTTTTTAATCCACATAATCCCATTACATCCCAGAAAGGTCACCCTAATGTGTCAGAAAAGTGCCTTTCTGTAGAGTTCATTAATTCTAAGAATTCAATTGGTGTGATTACTACTTCCCTTGAACTATGTTTTCATCAGTTGATAAGTGCAATTAACAGGAAATGTCTGTAAAATCAGATTGGCTCTGGGTGGCCCACATGTCAGGCCAAACAGAAGAATTCTGGTAGAGTTCTAGGGGGAGATGTCATGTAGGTGTCTATATCCACTGTGTTATGTCATTTTAAGTATAGCTGTTGCTCTCGCCTTGAACTTTAAGACATTATTGATTTAGAGGACCCATAAATGGATCATCTGACCTTCTCTTGAGCCATTTGCCCCAAATGACCAGAGACATATGATCAAAGAGACGAATGTCTCTGCTACATCCAAACAAATTAAGAAAAAATTAAAAGATCAGAACAATGTAGGTGTATTCTCAACAGGGGTGCTACCTCTTAGGGGAAGGCTGGTGCCAGGGTCTTTTTATGCAAATCCTAGTGTGCTGTTTTCTCTCAAGATAGACTCATGGATTTAAACTTCAAAATGTACCTGATTTTCCACAAACTGGTCTGTTCCTTAGTTGTAGTTTGATAAAGCAAGTCTGGCTGAGTCGTTCTCAACCGTGGCTGCACATTGTCAACAATTGGTGCACTTCTAAAAATTTCTGGTTACCAGGCTACACGTAAGACCAATTAAATGGCAACCTCTGAAACTGGGTCTTGGGCATCAGCAATTTTTAAATACTTTTAAATATTTCTGATGTGCTCATGTTCTTTCTCTGAAAACCACTTGCTGAGTTGAATGGTCCTCACCTTGGCTGTTCCTTAGATTCACAGATTAAAAGAGTACCAGTGATAGGACCCGCTCTTGTGAATTCTGCTTTAAGTGATCAGGGGCAGGGTCTGGAAAGCAGTTCACAAAATGTTCTGTAGGTGCCTCTAATACGTGGCCACAGCTGAGAATCAGTGGTATGGCACCAAGGCAGAGTGACTCAAGGAAGTTGATTGAAGGAAGGGATTCAAGGGAGTCGAATCACTGAATCTTTTCCAACTTTTGTTTCTATTTTTGCAACTTCTATTTGGCCATCATGCTTGCCTCCGGAGCAACCCAGCTACTTAGGTTTTGGACAGTGCAACCACAGAAACCTGGTAAAGTCCAAGAAAGGGTACTTCTAGTTTCTAGATGCCTCTTAAGATGGTTGACTTTAAACCTCAGCCTGAAAGAGAAACGAAACTGCCCTACAGTGGCCCTGTCATCATCTTAGTACTTGAGTTCTTACTTGTTCTTCTTACTGGACCATTTCTTAGGGATTGACTCATGATCGCCTTTGCTTGAGTTTTTCCATTTTTCCCTCCAGTCTGCCTCTAATTTTGTCTTTATCCATTCTGTCATCCAAAACCCCTTCCTATATTCTACCTCTCCTTCTCCAAAATTTCTCAACCTTCCCTGAAGATAAGAATTGCGTAGAATGTTCAATAAAAGTATGGATTCCTGGGTTTCCACTCTGACTACCTGAATCAGAATTTCCAGGAGAGGGGTCTGGTAATCTATACACTTATTAAGAACCCAGGCGTACCTGCTGATCAGCTCAACGCGGGCACCATTTTCACTGTGCTACAGGTAGTAGGTGCTCCTGTGAGGGAATCACGCCTCCTGCTACTTCTTACCTTGAAGTTTGGGCAACTTTGCTGAGAAATCTGCAAGTTTATTCCCATTTTCATTTCAAAGCTCACCTGTCCCAGGAAGAGTGTTTTGAATTGGGAAGGCTTGTGGGTAGAGGAGAGGAAGGATGACTAATTGATGAAAAATGATGAAATGGCCAAATGGAGTTTAAAGGAGAAGGCTGTGTTTGTCTTGGCTCATGGGAACGTTGACTGCAAAGGCTACTTACCTAACACTTATCTAGGACTTCAGGTTGCCAAGTGTATACCTATGTATTTAATTTTTCTTATAACCCCTCTTTTTATCTGTGTAGATGAGGAAACTGAGGTATGGAAAAGTTACATGATGTGAGGAAGCTGTTAAGTGGTACAGGTGAAACCCGAACACAGTTGGCTTTGGGTCAAGACCCAAGCTTTTACTATGTAAGGTTCTGGTTGGGAATACTCATATAGGGGGTATTTAATCAGCAGTGGTGTGTGATATCTCCGTGGAGAAACTTCTTAATATTCTGAATCTTCAGTTCCTCAGAAGTAAAATATTTGAATTCCTCTTTAAGGATAATTCAGAGAACTAAAAATATATTCTGCTCTAACAATAATTTGATGACGAAATGGCATATACCATGATCTTTCTCTTTTCACTCTTATGTCACCAGGCTATTCTTTTAAGATGGTTTGTGTAGACCAACCGTCTAGATTCTATCTGCCTGCCTCAGCTGGTGGTACATTTAAATTAGTCCTGTGGATTGCCACAAATCCCCCTCATAGCCCACTTTTTTCCTTACACTAACTCTCATCTCTTTGCAGTATTCCTTGCTCTGAAAAACTACCCATGGCTAAGTTCTGAGTCAAATTAAAATGGTAGCCAGCCCATGTTGCTGGAGGGGACATGAGAGTTGCAGAATAAACTTTTGGTGCAGGCAGGTGGGATGCGAATGTTCTCCATATTGAATAATAAGGGTTTTAAGTTGTATTGCTAAAGAATCTGGTCACCTCTCATTCTTTGGCTTCTTAATTCTGTTACATTGCTATTGTTACATAGAACTCAGGATGGATATCACTCATGGCAAGATTCTTCTTGTATCC